TATGTATCTTAACTTTATATGTCATGGTTTTCAGCGATATAAGTTTGTTACCTTAACTTATTTCCCAATTTTCAGAAGCTTAAGTTTAACCATTCCCCACATTCTGGAAGAGTACAAGGCAGCATTGGGCAACTTTAACTCTGTGTTAATGATGTTTCTGGGCCATTAATTTCCTTGTTTTTGTTTTTTAAATATTTTCTCAGCACTCTCCTCTTCTACAGGCCAACTCTGCCCCTAAACTCCCTCAGGCTCCTTGGCAACTATTACTCCAGCCAGAGAATGCACTTGGCTGGAGTAGTCTCCTCAGTGCCTGTCCAAATTTTTCCTGCACTGCTCTGACCTCCCCTTTATCATAGGAACAGCAGCAGTGGAGGAAAGGGGAGACCTGGAGCCCCCTCCATCAGCTTAATGGAGCAGTCATGGAGATGAACTGTTAGCGATGAGGGGTATTTGTAGGAAAAGGCAGGGGGGGAAGGGCAGGAGGGCACAGATGGCTCCACTTCCTCTCCCCCAACCAGTATCTCATTGCAGAGGAAGATGCTCAACTTTCCCTCTGCTGTCACCGCTTTTGAGTTCCCACAGCGTAAAAGGGCCCTTTGATGATGATCTGAAAAAATGACATTTTTGAAAACCTAGCTCTTCTTTAAAGTTCTAGTCATCGAACAGGGTTTCTGAAATTCCTTATATTACTGAGGGTCATCATCTAGGGGTGTGCTGCCCTCTCAGAACTCAGCATCTGTGCCAGCACACAGCACAGAGGCAAAAGTTGACAAAAGGGCAGCAGTACCCTCCTATAACCTTCCAAACCCCTTTTACTGTTCCAATGCCCCCCATACTTCCTTCACTGCTCTAATTCCTCTGCCATGCCCATTGCTTTTGACCGCTCCACATCCACTGCTGCTGTGAGCCCATACACGCCCCCTACCAGTCACCTTTACCTGCCTGGTAAAGTTGGAGGGGTCATGGGGAGGAGGGAATTTGGTGGTGCTGTGAGGAGTTCATGTATCAGCTAGATCCAGGACAGTCTGGCCTAGTATGTGGAGAAGAGGCTCTGCACTTCACTTTCAGTATAGGAAGCTCAGGGAGTTATGAAGTAGACCATTAATTTCAAAGAGATATTCTCAGCTGAATGAGAACAATGCAACTAGGGGTACTAAGGCTTTTGTAGTGCAATGACTTTTAAAATACTTCTAAACTGGTCCTTGTTACTGTTCAATAGTTGATCTTAGGGCAGTCCATGCTATAAATTTCACACTTAAAAATTAGATTGAGCTAGCTGCATCTATACTAGTTTAGGTCAAACTAACTACAGAGCTCAAGGTGTGGAATTTTTCATGGCCCTTGACAACGTAGCTAGGTCCATCTAATTTTTCAGTGTAGAACAGTTTATAGGGTTTTTTCCCCCTAGCTCTGCACCAAAAAAGTTGGAGACTTCTTCAAATGTTTGGGCATTTCATCTTTTCGAACGGAATTCTAATAGCAAGGATTCATCTCCCCCTACAGCAATCAGAGCCTGTGCCTCCCGTTCGTTCCATGCTGGAGCTCTTTTGCAATTCTGGGACTCCATCATAGTCACCTCTGCTGATGAGATCTGCACTGACATGCAGATTGCCACACTGGCCAAACAGGAACTGAGGGTATGTCTTCACTACCCGCCGATCCGGCAGGTAGCAATCGGTCTATCGGGGATCGACTTACCGCGTCTCGTGAGGACGCAGTAAAATCGATCCCTGATCGCTCTGCCGTCGACTCCGGAAATCCACCTCGGCAAGAGGCGGCAGCGGAGTCAGCGGCAGCACGGCAGCGGTCGACTTTCCCCCGTCCTCACCGCCAGGTAAGCCGACCTAAAATACGCAACTTCAGCTACGGTATTCACGTAGCTGAAGTTGCGTATCTTAGGTCGGAACCCCGCTGTAGTGTAGACCTCGCCTAAGATTCAAAAGTTCACAGGCCTTTCCCTGTCTTACCTGGCCAGAGCATCTGAGTTGAGAGCGCTGTCCAGAGCGGTCACAATGGAGCCCTCTGGGCTAGCTCCCAGAGGCCAACACCATCCCATTGCAACCACGCTACCCCAAATTCGACCCGGCAAGGTCGATTTCAGCACCAAGCCCCTCGCTGGGGAGGAGTACAGAAATCGATTTTAAGAGCCCTTTAAGTCGAAAAATGGCTTTGTCGTGTGGACGGGTACAGGGTTAAATCGACGTAACGCTGCTAAATTCGACCTTAACTCGTAGTGCAGACTAGGGCTGAGGCAGCTGGGAGGAGCCTGAACCCCTCACCCTGCTGCTGGGCAGAGAGGGAGCCCGCCAGCCACAGAGCACAGCTGCCCCTGCTAGGGCTCCACGGCCGCCCTTCCGCGCCCGGCAGTCCCTCTCTCCGAGGGCGTCGCCGTGCTCAGGGCCGGCCGGTCCCAGCAAACCCCTGGACCAGCGTAGCCCGGGCTGGAGCCCTGTGGGCTGCTACGCTGCACCGCAGCCTGCGGAGAGAAACTTGGGCGGGGAGACGGCGCGGGGCCGGGCTCCCTTTGCCCGCGCTAGTCCTCGCGTTCCAAAGGGGCGTGCGGCAGAACGCGGCTCGCGCGCGTGGCTCGGCGCTCGCGGTCACCGCACCCCCGAACGTTCCCGGCCAGACCCGCCCGAGAGGGGAGGAGGCGAGGGCAGCGCCACTGGGAGGTCAAGCCAGCAGCCCCGCCCCCTGCCGCCAGCCAATCCGAGGTAGAAGGGGGCGAGCCGAGCCGGCCCGGATAGAACCCGGCTCCCGCACGCTGCCCCCGCCCCGCTGGCCGGGGTAAGCCCCTCTCCGCCGCGTCTGGGCCGGGCCCAGGGTGGGAGCCGCCCCCGGCAGAGGAGGCCCTGGAGGGGGGCGTGTTTGGCCGTAACCCTGGAAACCAGCAGCGGCCGCAGCTTCTTTGGCAAGCGGCACTTCGGCTGCGGGCAGGGGTGAGTGCGGGGCTGGGTCCGGGGGAGTGCGGGCCCTGCGGGGCTGGTCGGGGGCGGATCGGCGTGGGGGAGCTGGAGGTATGGCGGGGGGGGGGTGCTGCTGGGCGGGAAGCAGGGTAATGGGGCTGGGCTGACCCTAAGCTCCCATCTGTTTGCTCTGTATCCTCAAGGAACCCGTGGTTTTCCATATAGAGTCCTGGCTAACGCTTCTGTAGCCCATTTCACCCCCGAGAGCTCGCCACACCCGTTCTGTCTGTAGCAGCCCTGGGCTGCGCTTTGCAGCAGTGCGGAGATTAGCATGGACTGAGTAGAATGTGTGTGTCCCAACAGCAGATCAGACCACAGGTTTTCAGAGGTGGCTCTGCTCCGAAGACTATATGTCAAAAGAGACCTCTTCTTACTCAGTAGTTCTCCCCTTTGTGTGTCAGTCACTCACCTCTGCTGACTGTAGTGACGAAAATGTTATTGCTTTTTACTCCAGTTAGTCCTGCGAGATGCTAAAGGGTTTGTTAGCGATCCTTAACTATAGCGTGGCTATTGCTACACAAAGAGAAACCTAGTTGTGGGGCTATGACATCTTAATTCTGTTGCTAAAATCCTATCACTTTACTTTCCGTGCTAACTCCTTACTGCAAACTCAAAACAGAGATATCATTTTGTAGTCAATGATGCCCCACTCCCAGTTAAGTTGTTTCTGATTGGGTACGTGGAACAAACTTTAGGCCAAGGATTCTTAGTTCACTGTAATGTTGTAAAATCTCCTTTGGACCAATCAGTTTTTGATAGAGCACATACCTCCATATACTTGATTTGCTAACTTATGTATACTGTTACTACAGCCACCTGTATGTTTCAGGGTCTCTATCATACTATGTACATTCTCAGATTTAATAGACATGTCGGACATAGCTAAGGATAAGGCAGCACGCCTGTTAAAGAAAAGAGGCAGCGTATCCTCTCTAAGCAGTCATGAAGTCAGAGCAAAAGAAATCATTGGAAAAAACAAAGAGTAAGTAGTTTTTATAATATGGATTATAAAATAATGTAAATATATCGGGAAAATGTTGCATTGAGAAATAAAAAAAGGTAATGGATGAGGGGATGTTTTGAATCTAACTCCTGTTTCTGAAGCATTATGAGAAAGCTTCTTTGCATAGTAATTACAAAGGAAAAATGTTCTGTGATTCAAGCATCACTGTAAGAGTGCTTTTTCTCATCATGATTACGTCACTAAATCTGAGGAACCCATAAATGTTTGGGACCCTTTTAGTCCAAACCTATAGTCATAAGCAACAAGTTTAATGTTAGTTGATGTAATTGTTTTGGGGATTACTTCAAGAAGAACTATGGTAAAGGTTCATCCTTAGCCCCGTGTCTCAAGCTGCTTAATGCTCTGGCTGCAATCCAGCAAAACACTTTAAGGATATGAGTAATCCCACTGAAGTCAGTAGGATTACTCACATTTTAAAGTTAAGTGCTTAAATGTTTGGATCAGGGCCCGTATGCTGAGATCAAGCCCATGGAGAGTACCCACTTAAAAATGTTCCTTGTAACTGGGTGGCTTCCTTGTTTTTTGTCTTGGTGAGGGAGGAACTTCTTAGAGGCTTAAATTCCTTTTTTTTAGACATTTTTTTGAAGATCTAGCTCCCTCTCAAAAACCTTTCCCTCCACCATCTTTAAAGGGAAGGCGGAAAGTTCATATCCGGGATTTCTCTCTTCTAATTATTCCTTCCAATGTGCATTCTGAGCACAGCTTCTGTTTTAAAAACTAATGTGTATTTAAGAAAAAAACATTTTGAATTTGCTAGCTGTGATGGGTTGAGTAAAGCAAACCAATCACTTTTTTAAACATTAATTTGGTTTTACTACAGCAAACACAGTAATGAAGCCGAGAATTTAGAATGGATTTAGAATGCAGTGTTTCTCCAGTCACTTTCATAAATGCATAGCTGATGGCTGCCATGTTGGAGATTGAACCAGGAACCTCCAGAGTGAAAATTATGAGCTGCTACATCGTGAGCTAAAGCGTGGAGGCTATAACAACTCATATCCCCTGTGGATTTGCACAGTGGGAAACAATAACACATTCGCCAGTGAGTTCCATTTGGAACCAGAAAGTAGATTTAATCTGACTCCTGGTGAAATATTCTAGAGTATTCCTTTAGGGGACACCTCAGTCCACAGACTTGCTTGGCAGTAGTTTGGATACAAAGAAGCATAACAAAGTATTTACCAAAATTATATTTTGTAAAGCTGTATTTTTAAGGTGAATTTTGTCTGCTTCTTATATTGCACCCAATTCTGTGGTATTCGAGTTCCTATCAGATTGATTTTTATTTATCTCGATCCCACCATCCTACTTCAAATTAAGTAGTTGGCCAGATAGCTGCTTCTAAATTCTGGGCTTCATTGCTGTATTTCTGTTCTAGTAAAACCAAGTTAAAGTTTAAAAGTGATGATTTTGCTTTACTCTGCTCAAGCCCATGCAGCTAGAAAATTCAATTTTTTTTCTTAAATGCACATTAATTTCCAAAACATAAGCTCTGTTTAGAATGCAGTCTGGCAAATTGATGCATTATGTCCTTTGAAAATAGTTAGCTTTACAAGAAAGAGCAGATCCTTTGTTTCCACTACTCTTTAGTGTTTAACTGGGTGTAATGATGTGTCCCACTGAGTGGCAGCATATTTCTTTAGCACCTAATGTCCTGAGAAAAGGCATTCTTAACTGATCCCATTTTGACATAAACAAGTCCAAAAATTATCTTAACATTTTCTGAGAGAGAAAGCTGTGTTTCTGTACCATCTAAAATTTTGAATCTATTTTTATCAACATAATTTTCAATATACACTAGTTTATACAGTCACTTTTTGAATTATTTTTAGCTCCATGAGTACAGTATCTTATATGGATGAACCTGGCCATGAAATTCCTCGTCTTGCCATTCAGTTGGAGAACACTTATCAGCTGGGTATGGAACACTTCCTCCTCCATCTCACACTAAAAAAATAAGCTCAATACAGGTGACTGGGTGAAATTTAATGGTCTGTGATATATCTGTTAAATTAATTGCTCTAATGATCCCTTCTGGTCTTAAACTCTATGAATCCAAAATGTAAACTGTATAACTCAGATATTGCCTAAATCGAGAAACAGTCAAAATGTAGTCAGTTTTGAAAAGAATTCAAACTACTGTCATTTCTATTAATACATTTGCCCCTGAGTCCTCTTTACTAGTTTTTGTGGTTTTACAATCACCTCTCCCTGTTTAAAAACAAAACCAAAACCAAAAACACATCACACCTCTCCCTGTTGCTGTGTAAAAAACCTACAAGGGAAACACTGAAACAGACTAGACGCCAAATTGCAGTTAAATGCATCAAGTTATCAAATTAACAATTTAAAATTCAGAGAAAAATGTTTTTCTCTAAACTTTCAGTTATTATAATATTAGGTGCCATCTGTAACAATAGTAAGTTGAAAATGTTCAGGGAGAAGTGGGATTTTGAAGTTGATAGTATCTCTTTAAGATAACTATTTCTTTTATCAAGAGTGCTTCTCTTAATTTGTAGATTGGGAGGCATAGTAATTTATCTGTTTGATTTATTTATATTGAGGTAATACTAAGGGCTCCAGATCAAGCCCACTCTGTGGTAGGTACTGTACAAACTCATAACAAAAAAACTGTCCCTGCCTCAAATTGTTATGGTCATGATGGCTCCCGATAAAACAGCTTTATCGTAATAAGAGTCTCAGCACAAGAGAATATTGGGATCAACATTTGTCTTAGTTTAGAATCGAAAACCGCATGATGTATATTTTGACTGAAAACAAAATTTAGGTGTCTAAAGTTTGGCGTGTGTAAGGTACTACTAATCCAGATAATAGCAAGAGAAGGAGTTTATCCTTTTTGGCAAAAGGTATAGGAGCATGGTAGATGGATAAAGCTTGTCCACTTCATGTCCTTAGAGCTGGGTGGGAAACAGTTTCCCATCCCAGTAAGATATTTGAGATTTTAAAAAAAAATCCCATTTTAAATTGGGACAAAAAGTTGCAATCTTGAAAACTTTCGAGAACTGACAAACCAAAAAAGATTTCAGGTTGGGTTCAAAATTTTGTTTTGATAATTTCAAATTGTTTCAGTTAAATTTCAACCATTTTTCATTTTTAATCTTTTACTTTTTTTTTTTTAATTCCCATCCATCAGCTCAACAGCAATGATGCGCCAAATGAAGTCTTTCCTCCACTTTCTGTCTTGAACAAAGCTGTGAAGCTGGTACATCTTTAAACATTTTTGTTCTGTCATTCTTCACTGCATTTATCCAATGCATCCTCCGTCTTCCTGTTTCTAGTTCCATGCATTCTGGTATTTATTGCCATGTATGGTATCCTTTCTGAGTCCATTCTTGATATGTGTGCAAACCATCACTGTTGTCTTTCTTGAGTCTTCTGGAAGTGTATTATATCTGGCCCTAGCTGTTTTCTTCTCTCCATTTTTCATTTTCTGCAGTCTTGAAGCTCAATATTCCCCTCAGCCAGTTCATTTCTGCAGTGTAAAATCTTTTGTCCTTCAGATTTCCTCATATACTAGCATTCCAATCTGTATAGCAAGTATCAGCATGACAGTTGTCTCATATATGTTGATTTTTTTTTATCAAAATGTCTTTAGCCTTCCAGATCTTGCAGTTTTTTTCAAATGCAGTAGTGTAGCTAGTCCAGTTCTTGTTTTTTATGTCATCTTCACAATTCCCATTCTTTGATACTCTTTCCCATTCTACCTTGTCAGTTATTCTCTGTAAATCCTCCTTAGTCAATTCTGGGAGGTCCATGTCATCTCTGAATCGAAGACTCCTCCCTTTTCATCTCTCAGTGCTATAGCCATTATTGCTTGCAGTACCAAGTAAAACAAATCTGGTGATAGCATGCACTCCTGTTGTCGTGCTGAACCATTCCATCTGGTTCTTGTCTACTCTCACTGCACTCATTGATTTGCTGTAGATATTTTCTGTCTGCTCGATCAATTTTGGGGGGCTGCTATACATTGTCATAACTTGCCATAACCCTTTCTGCTAAATGAAAAGCCTCTTTGAAGTCTATAGAGTTGTAGTAACAGGTTTGGTTGTGTTCTGTGTATTTCTCTGATATTTGTTTTATCACAAATAACTGATCTGTTGCACTTCGGTCTGGTCTAAATCCAGCCTATTCCTTTGCAGATGCCATTTCCTCTTCATTCTCTTCTGCAACCTCTTGGTGAATGCTTTCTCTGGTGCTATTTTACTGTAACTAACTTAAATTTCTAAATGAAATGTTTCAAAACAGGAAACGGCAATTTTTCATTTCTAATAGTTTGAAATAGAACGTTTGATTGATTTTGAAACTTATTGTCAGGGTGGATTTAAATCACGAGTCAGGAAGACTTGATTTAATCATGGATTTCTACATAAAATGCATTCTTGTTGGTTGTTATAACCTTAATACATATCTTCACAACTCAGAGATAGATGTAGGTTTCATTTTTAGAAGGTACACACTATACATTTTTAAAGTGATTTATTTTGAAAACTTTTCAGATTAATTTTACAGTTATATCAGAAAATGAATGATTGTTTGGTTATTTCATTTACAAAGGTAATTGAAGCAGATAGTTCACCTCCCAATGACTTCATAAATATCTCCAATTCCAGTCAATCATTAATATTTGGAGGATTTTCTTGTCATGTTGTATTAGGAGGAGAACATCACCAGACAGACATTTAAATTGTTTTATTTAACTAAAACAACAACGTTATGCATTCTGGATTTTTTTCTTCAACAGCAAACATATAATATTTTAACAAAATAACTAAATTCAAAAATTCATATGCTTGAACATTCAAGTTTTTTAAAATCAGGTTTCTTTTTGTTAAAATTTTTAACTAAAATAGTAAAATGAAATATATTAAAAAAAAAAAAATCGACTGTCAGCCAGGCCAACATGAGAAACTTAAAATATTGGCTTCTGCAGCTAACTCAGTCATCTTCAGCTTCATTTTCCTGTTTGTTCATAATCTGGAAAAGAAAAACAAGCTTTCCTAGGTCCCAAACGATTTCTCAATTTGGAATGAATTAATCCAAAGGAAGAAAATATTCTTTCTACACCGGCAGAAGAAGCTACTGGTGTTAAAAATGAGATTATCACTTCAACAGTCTCTGAATCCAAGTGCTTAAGTGACTTCCGCCAGTTCACTGATATGACTTTCTTTAAAACATCATCAGCAAACATATATTTCTTGAATGGTTCTTATTCCCAAACTGGGTGTTCTTTTATGGCCTGCTGCCATTATAGGTTTTCCCTTCTAGTGAGAGAATGGTATGGTAGATCTCAAATCAATGAAGGCTACACTCAGAAAGACCTCAAGACTTCTGGAATATACTGCTCAAACAATTTCACTTTTGTTTCTACTGCCTGTCCCTCCCTTCTCACATTTATCTCCAGACTTCTTTTCCTTGTCCAGATCTGTTCCGCCCCCAACAATCTTCTAGTCATTGAACTTTTTGAAAAGTTTCAAAAAGTTCTCTCTGGAGACACAAATCCACCGTTTGAGAACTGCAAAACTAAGCATCTCTGATGGTATCTTCTAGACTGAACACTGAATCCCATTGGGTAGATAGAAAGATTAACCGAAATAATCTATACAGAAGCCCCTGGAACCCCATAAGATTGGGTCCCTAAACCATGAACTATTGGAACTCATTTACAAAACTTTTCTTAAACATTACATGAATATATTGTCTCATACTATAGAATTAGAATTTATAATCCCTATTCCATGATGAGATATCTTTGAGCTACAATGTATCTTGCTTGATTAAAACTATCTTTAGGCAGGTTTTTTCCTCAAAAAGCATTTTATCAAAAAAGATCCGATTTTTTTTTTTTTAATCATTGATTTTTATCCACTCTGCTTATTGTTCGAGTCAAGAAACTTATTGAAACTGACGTTTTCCCACAAACAGTTTCAGTGAGGACTATCAACATTTTTCAATGGGAAGATGATTTGCTGAAAAATTCTGACTAGCTGTAAATGGCCCACTTGTAGATCTTGCAAATTATCTTCCTGTAAGGCAGTCTTTTTTTACTGAGATTTGTGAATAAGAATGTACTTAGAACACTTTATAGGATCAAACAAGTGTACGTTTCTGCCACATAACTGCCTGATCCACAACCACATTTTTCCAAGGAGATGATAGAGTATGCTTGAATTTTGAGGCAAATGAGGAAGGAAATACTCCAGCTGCTGGAATTCTGATGCCTATAGTACTTCCAGTACTTTGAAGGGTATTACATCCACATTCAGTAGATTTCAGCATGCAAGGGGTATAACAACCTGTAGGTATTTTTTGTGTGCACCTTAGTTGGTTAATGATCAAAAAACACTCAGATACTATGGAGAAGAGGTTAAAAAAAGCCGTAGATCAAAATAAACCCAAAAAGGAATTGTGGGGGAGGGGTCACAAGGATTATTGTAGGGGGGGTTGCGGTACTGCTACCCTTACTTCTGCCGCTGGCGGTGGCACTTCCTTCAGAGCTGGGCAGCTGGCCAGGAGCCCAGTTCTGAAGGCAGAGCCATCACCAGCAGCAGCGCAGAAGGATGGCACGGTATGGTGCTGCCATCCTTAACTTCTGCACTGCTGCCTGTAGAGCTGGACCCTTAATCAGCAGCCGCCACTCTCTGGCTGCCCAGTTCTGAAGGCAGCACAGAAGTAAGGGTGGCAATACCATGACCTTCCTAAAATAACCGTCTGACCCCCCCCTTGCCCCCCTTTTGGGTCAGGACCCCCAATTTGAGAAACACTGGTCTCCCCTGTGAAATTTGTATAGTATAGGGTAAAAGCACACAGAAGACCAAATTTTACTGGGGGAGACCAGATTGCATGGTCCGTGATGTATTTTTCATGGCTGTGAATTTGGTAGGGCCCTAGTCATAGCATTGTTTCAAGTGGTTGTTAGCAGATCACAGCTAGCCATATATTTACTCTCCAATTAGAGTGGTAGCCGCGTTAGTCTGTTAGTCTGTACATCTGCCAATGTGATATATGCCATCATGTGCCAGCAATGCCCCTCTGCCATGTACATTGGCCAAACCGGACAGTCTCTATGCAAAAGAATAAATGGACACAAATCAGACGTCAAGAATTATAAGATTCAAAAACCAGCCGGAGAACACTTAAACCTCCCTGGACACTCAATTATAGACCTAAAAGTGGCAATTCTTCAACAACAAAAACTTCAAAAACAGACTCCAACTAGAAACTGCAGAACTGGAATTAATTTGCGAACTGGACACCATCAAATTAGGCCTGAATAAAGACTGGGCGTGGATGGGTCATTACACAAACTTAAAACTATTTCCCCATGCTAATTTCCCCCCCTACTGTTACTCATACCTTCTTGTCAGCTGTTTGAAATGGGCTACCCTAATTACCCCTACAAAGATGATTTTTCCTCCTGCTGATAATAGCCCACTTTAATTGATTTGTCTCGTTAGAATTAGTAAGGCAACCCCCATCTTTTCATGTTCTGTGTGTATGTAGTGTGTGTGTGTGTGTGTGTGTGTGTGTGTATAATATATATAATAAAATCTTCCTACTGTATTTTCCACTCCATGCATCTGATGAAGTGGGTTTTAGGCCACAAAAGCTTATGCCCAAATAAATTTGTTAGTCTCTAAGGTGCCACAAGTACCTGTACTCCTCGTTCTTTTTCCAATTAGAAAGATCCATTGATATCTTACATGATTGTCATTCTTGTTTTACATGTCAGTTTAATTTTCTGGTAAAAATTCTGGAGGGGAATGAGAACAAACAAGGAATCTCGTTAAAAATTCCCAAAGTGCTACAAACCTTAACTTGTTTATACTTAATTTCCTGGTAAATCTATTACAAACTTGTAGTTAAAGAGAAAAAATATGAATTTGAAGGTGCTTTATTTTCCAGTAATAAAAATCACTCTTTCTCTGTTTAATTTGTGGGTGAATTAATGTTCTTGAAATGAAATATTGTAATAGCACTGGTTAGAACCAGAGATGCTGTGCAAGGTTAAACGAAGCATCTCAGTCCTGATCTTTAGCATCCCTCCTATTTAAATTCTGGGTCTCTTTTAAATAGACTTAAACCCATACCAAATTGTATGGTAGCTTTATAATTAGAGATCCATAAAAATATTTTTAGTTTTCACCTAATCCAGGATTTGAATTCAGAGAGAGAGCGAGAGAGATAACTAGTGTACTAGTTCACTGTTCTAATTAACCCCCTTTCATTGGTCATTTTGATTAGTCGGTTTAAAAAGGCAGTTTACAATGTGTTCAGTTATTCTCAACATGGATTTATAAATTAAAGCACTATAAAATATCTACGTATACCAGGTCCTGCAAAACGTTTTCCAGTGGTCACAGTAAATAATATTTTGAAGGATGTGCTGACTAATTATCTTCAAGAAGAAAAATATGAAGCAGAGCTATGCAGACAAATGACCAAGACCATCTCTGAGGTATAAAAAATAAATTATTAGTACAATTAGGCTTTTGGAGTAAATTATGGGTCAGATTCACCCCCTTCTCAAATCCATGTATTGAGGGGTCTTTCATGTACAGTCTCCCCACTTTCTCTGGTGGACCCTTTTCTGTATGTCTGGGGTATGCATTGGGGAGGGGAACATGACTTGTAAGGCTTGTGACAAGTGGGTGGGCCAGAGACTGCACATCATCCTTCCTCTGGTCCTCAAAATTTACCCAGAAAATGGAACAGTCCCAGGCTGTAGTAACTTTTGTGCATATCCCCGGGGACGGTCACAGGGACTGCTGTGACCAATGGGGAATGGTTCCATTGAACTTGTCCTCCCAAGGAATCATGTGAGTGGGCATTAGGTGTACCAGAGGCAATGTGGGAGCATAGTGCTAACTCTCCTTCTGTGGATCCCCAGCATCCACCAGCTTTGGGGATAGGCAAACCCTGTACCCCTGGCAGGACAATGCCTCAGATTTTTTTTCTTCAAAATCTCCTTTCCTTGGCTTTTCATGTCGGAAGACACAATATTAGTAAGTAGAATATAGGGCTTAGGGAAATTAAAACGAGTGAACTAAAGGTATGAAGTTAAAATCTATTAAATCCCTGTGTGGATGCTCTCATTTAAAAGTTAAGTGGCCTCCGTTCACTGAACTTAATCCTCCAGAAACATCCAGAATAGCCCCTCAGTGATACTTATGCATTTGTGCTGTCGCAAATTCTGCTTGTTAACATGTGCAAGTCTTCAGTGAGTTTGCTTAGGTGTAATAGAGTGAAACTTGGGCATCATCAGCAGATTTGTTTGTTGAGAAAGAATAGCATATGCAACTTATTCTTTCAGCAAAAATGGGTCTGTAAGGCTAACAGGAGTAAAAGGCAGTAAAAACTTGTGTGTTTGGGTATTTTTGTTTGGTTTTGTACATTCTAGTCAACAACTGAATACACACATGGAGACGATCTCTTAAGAGTGAAGGTGCCATCTTTTTCATAGACAGTTTTCATATTTGAATTGTGCTTTGCTCTCTCTAACTATTCAAGAAGCTGCCACCACTTTTTTAAAAGCAACTCCTGAAGTTAATCCTTTGGGGATATGGCATTTCCAAGAACTGATATCACTATCATCAGTGTTGAAAATACTGATTCATTGGCACTGTAACCTCAGTCTCACATATTCCACCCTCTAGTGGTACTGGAATACTTACAGGGTGATGTTGCAAGTCTATGGTTAGGTGATCAAGAATCTTGTTGGTAAACATGTTACGTTCAGTATTTCTAGACATTTTTATACTATACTGTATCAGTGCAGTGGTTTTTACCTGTGAACCTACTGAACATGTTTCTCTCTTATAGGTTATTAAGGCTCGGGTAAAAGACCTTATGATACCAAGGTACAAAATTATTGTGATTGTACATATTGGACAACTAAATGAACAGAGCATGCGAATTGGAAGCAGATGCATTTGGGATCCTGCGAGTGATACGTTTTCATCATATGCTTTCAAAAATACCTCACTGTTTGGTCTTGCAAATGTCTATGCTGTTTATTTTGAATAATGAAAAGCTCGAGTTTATCAGTGGAAGAAAAATATCTAACTTATCATGTTTATATTGTAGAAAAACTGTTAGAAGACAGTCAGTTTACATTTGTTTTAAAATGGGGGAAATGAGCCTTTCAGTGGTAAATGTAATAATCATGCACACTTAAACCATTTTCTACTCTTGCTACTTTCCACAGGAAATAATTCATACTAAAATGACATTTTGCACCTGACTCTTTAATTGTTTTTTAGAACCACATATCACTGTATTAGCTTGTATCATTGTTATTTGCTCTAATTAAATCCTGGTCCTCAGTTTCAGTCCCAAGTAAAAGGCTTTGTGCATAAGGCCAATATGGGATTTGCAGAAGTAAAAAAAAATCCTTCCCTTCCGCCCTCATCTTGGAGTTAAAATGTTGGGCAGCTGCACAACCATGTCATGAGCTGTGACCAGTACCCTAAAAGGTTTTACAAGTGGGAGATCCACACAACTCATTGTCTTCAGCCCTCCTCTGGCAGAGGAACTGTCCATGTCCACCCCCTTCTCATGTGGCATCTCTGGCTCAATTTCCCCAATGGAATCTTCAGCACATTTTAGTTATGGATGTGGTTTAGGCCTCTTGCCAAGTCACTGAGGAAGATCTACCCCTTCTGTGTTAGCGAAGTCCCCAAGTCAAAGTCCAACGTAAACACAAACCACAAGAATCTTTGGCCTTCTGGGCTCAAATTTCATCCCCCTTCCTTTCGTGCAGATCCCAGCTGTAGCAGCTTGTCTTCACCACCACCAACAGGTTCCTGGTAACAAATTAAACTGTCCTTCCTGGTTGGTCCCCAAGTAAGATGGCTTTCTGCTTTTAACCGCCCTCTCCATGCCTGACAGCTCTTGCAGGTGAAGCAGGGTGGGGCCAATTGAGTATACCCCATCAGACCTTCTTTCCTTTCCTCCTGTTCCTATTTCCAGTGTTGCAGAACTGTAGATGTTCCACTGTTTGTTTGGGTTTTTTTGTTTTTGCAATGAGAGGATTTTGGCCCTTAACTAGTAAGAATTAAGAGCTGAGGAAAATCTGGATAAGTATCATGACAGGTAACAACAGTTAATTATGTTCAGAAATGTTTTATTGTACTGTAAGCAGCAATGTGTCTAATCTGTGGTATGTATATGAAATTCCGTTTCCATTTTACTTATAATAAAGTAAATTTAATTAGTTAAAACTGCACTGTGCAAGACTTGGAATTGATGTTTTAATTAAGGTGGTTTTATTTCTTTATTGTTTCTGGATTAATATAGAAATCCTGTTAAATCCTTGTCTACTCACCTTTATCTTTTGGGCTATGTCGACACTACAGACCTTACAGTGGAACAGCTGTACCGCTATAGCCTGGCCGCTGTAAGGTCTCCTGTGGGTAACCACTCTATGCCAAGGGGAGAGAGCTCTTCTGCTGGCATAATTAAGCCACCCCCAATGAGCAGCATTAGCTTTGTGGGCAGGAGAGCCTCTCCTACCGACATAGCGCGTCCACAGCACTTTTGCCGGTGAAACTTTTGTCGGTCAGGGATGGTTGTTTGTTTGTTTTTTTCCACACCCCTGACCGACAAAAGTTTGACCGAGAAAAGTGGTAGCATAGACAAAGCCGTAGTTTCTTAAAAGGCTTAAATGTGTTATCTGTTCTGCTCCTTGTCATTTTTATACCTACAAGTACACACCTTGAAAATAGTTGATAAATTACCCAGAAAAGTTGAGATGACAACATTCAGAATAGAAGGGGAAAACACTTTTGTTTAAATAGCATAAGAAATTTGACATATTGCCAGATACCATTTTCTGCCCAAACGTACCAAGTGATTTTTAATTGTTACATTAGTGTACCACTAAGGCAGAGCATGAGGTCATCTTAAATGCTGAAAACAGAATATATAGATATTAGGGATATTTGCTGCTCTGGATTCACTTATGGAATCCCCATTGATACAAAAAGTGTTGTGGACAAAGATGGAATTTATACCCCATACAAAACCCTTTATATTACGTTTCTGTGGGCCAGGTTCCAAACTTATGGCATAGGGAGAAGCAGCATCCTTGCACCATAAAAACCTTTTCTTTTGGCTCTATGGGGACTCCTCCTGAGGGGTGGCAGGAGATGCTTCCACCCTAAATGGAAAAGTACCAGATTTAAGATGGATTTCATTATCCGGTGACATGGTCACCTGTCACTGTAAGACCCCAGCCTCCATTCTTCCAGGGCTGGCCCACACATACACAGGAAGGTTTGCAAGTAAACAGCTATTTACAGTTCATTGATTCTGAAGCACCCTTAATGGCTTCCACTTAATATGTTTACATCAGTAATACAAGTTTATGTCTTATTCTCCTAACTTCAGACATAGAAATAATACATGCAAATAAATAGGATGAACACACTCAGTAGATTATAAGCTTTGTAATGATACCTTACAAGACACCTTTTGCATAAAGCATATTCCAGTTACATCATATTCACATTCATAAGCATATTTTCATAAAGCATCTGGAGTGCAACATCACAGAGTTGTGGGAGGAGGAGGGGAGAAATGTCCTTATATGGTATGCAGGTCAATTTCACCTGATTAAGTCCACCTTCCATACAGCTTGCATTTTAGATCTGTGCACTTTAGAGACCTGTTGATATATTGGATGGATGAGATCATATTCATGCACATATCACTCCCATAATAAGCTTTACCCAGGAATTTTCATGGAAGATCAAAATGTACCATGATTCCAAGCAGGTCTGCTTGGGTTTTAATTTTATAGTAGAAAGCAAATATGTAGAACTTAGGTTTTAAATTAAGTGACTTTCTAAAGTGTCAAAAATAAATCTCTCTTGGTGTTTGAGAAACACTGAGCTGGTTTCTATTTATTTTTATACATAGAGCCATGTGGGTTTATAGTTAATATTCTATCAGAAGTGGCCATAGTTTAGCGAAAGTGAAAATAGCACAGCAGCGTCTGCAATATGAACCAACTGGTTTTAGCTCTTGATGTTAAATAAACTTAGCTTTACAACATAAAAAAATCATATACTGAACTGTAAAAAAGAAAAAAAAAAAACCCATGACCCAGATATGGCAGGGGATTCAGTTTTATCTTGTAGTAGAGTGTCCAGGGCCTAACTTTTATAGCTCGTTGCTTAACCAGCTGATGTACGTTACTCCATGGATCATTTACTTTTTTTGAGGCTTTCATCTCCTTTTTTTATAAGCTGAAGCAGAGGTGTTTCCAAAAGATGGTAAAAATCTGGTAAAAAAGCCTCTAAGACTTCTGTAGAATAGTGGTTCTCAACCAGGTGTATGCATACCCGTGGGGGTACACAGAAGTCTTTCAGGAGGTACTTAACTAATCTAGATCAGTGTTTCACAACCTGGGGTGTGCAGCCCCCGGGGGGAGGGTCATTGGATGGGTTTAGGGGGATTGGAAGTGCAGGGCTGGCATTATGGAGTGGGAAGCAGGGCAATCACCCGGGGCCCCTGCAAAGCTAAATTACATGCTTCAGCCCCACAGACAAGGCTCACAAGTGAAAAACAGACTCAAGTATCACACTGAAATGTAAGTAAAATATTTATATTCCAATCAATTTATTTTATAAATTATATGGTGAAAATGAGAAAGTGAGCAATTTGTCAGTAATAGTGTGCTGTGACACTTTTGTATTTTTATGTCTGATTTTGTAAGCAAGTAGTCTTTAAGTGAGGTGAAACTTGGGGATACGCAAGACAAATCAGACTCCTTAAAGGGGTTCAGTAGTTTGGAAAGGTCAAGAACCATTGCTGTAGAAGATCTAAGGTCAGGACTAATTTTCTTACATATATGAATATTTAATCTTAGGCCAATTACTGCTAATACTGTAAAGCAGGTGTTCTCAAACTGGGGGTTGGGACCCCTCGGGGGTCACGAGGTTATTACATGGGGATCACAAGCTGTCAACCTCCACCCCAAACCCCACTTGCCTCCAGCATTTATAATGGTGTTAAATATATTTAAAAATGTGTTTAATTTATTAGGGGGGGGTCTCACTCAGAGGCTTGCTGTGTGAAATGGGTCACCAGTAAAAAAAAGTTTGAGACCCACTGCTGTAAAGGAAAAATACCTAATATTTGATTATTATAAATGTATACTTGTACATCTCTTCTGCACCAGTATTGCAGCATTAGGTTTACTACTTAATCTTTAATGCAAGTTTTTTATGTTCTGAACTTCTCTTTGGCACCATCTATTTAAAATGGATCGTTCAATGTGTTTTGTTTTTGAAAACACTAGATAGAAAAGCAGACGAGGTTTAATAAACCCCACCTCATTTTTACCCCTTTGCAGAACTTGTTCCAAGGGAAAGGCGTTTGGCCTCAGCGGAGCCCTGCAATTTGGCTCAATTCCTCATTTTCTGCTCAGGAGAGTTTTGCTGCAAGAATAACACAGATGTTCCAGATCAAGGGCAGTGACTGAATCGACCATTGTGCCATATTGTCACAATTTAACTTCAGGATTGTCTGCTTGACAGCACTCCCCTGGTCCAACTACAATACAACTAAAAAATTGAAGTGTGGATGGGACCCCTCCTGGGTTCCTTATAACTGGGCAAAAGCTTTGAACAGTCCAAGGCTTTGGCCTGGTTATGGGGGTATGAGTAGGTACCATCCATGCTACAAAATTTAATTGTGTTACAACCAGGTCTTCTGACTGGGTAATATTTCTAGCACCAATGGTGCCTATCTAACTCCCCAGGCAAGCACTGTTTTTTCTTCTATATTGGAGCCATCCTGAGAGCCCGGCTGGTGCAGGGCGTTAGAGCTGTCTGTACCATTATCTCCAATAGCCCAGTCAGAGCACAGAAGTTAAGGCTGCCTCCACAGCTTATAAACTAGTTCTACTACCATGATCTTGAATCAAAATGCCCTCGGGGTAAAATTTCAACAGCACAATTATCTTAGGAGCCTGACTCTAATTTTCAAAAGCGACTTAGGCACTTTGAAGCCTATGTCTCTTTGAAAGTCAATGGGAATTGGGTTATGTCTACACTTTGAACAGTCCAAACAGCTGGGTCAACCTAACTTTTTAGTGTAGACCTGGCCATAGGTTCTGAAAATTAGATTCAGGGTCCTAAGCCACTTGAATACTTTTGAAAAACTTTGCCAGATCTAATGATCTTCAGGGCAAACTGCCAGCCACATTTTGTTTATTCAAGGGATTTGAAAGCGGGAGAGACTTGGGAAGCTGGTGAATTGCTGGAGAGGGAGGGTAGTTCTAGCTTTTTGTTTGCTTGTCTTGCTGGTTTGGGTCATACTGGAGGATATAGCTGTTGTCTCATTGCAGTCAGGGCCGCCGAGAGCGGGTTCGGGCCCCGGTGAAAAAAATTTTTTGGGCCCCCCAGCCAGGGCGGACTGGCTAAACAGGGCCGACGAGGGGGGGGGAAGCCGGGCCCGGAATTTTTTTGGGCCCCCCAGCAAGGGCGGATCGGCTAAACAGGGCCGACGAGGGGGGTGGACGGGACCAGGCCCACTTCCAGACCGCCGGGCCCCAGTAATTTGTACCAGCTTCCCCCCCTCTCGTCGGCCCTGATTGCAGTGGAGGAGTTTTGATATGTATTTTTAAGTAATATCCAAAAAGCTTAGAGCTTTTGGATAAATGTGCTTTTTTAAGGTGCATAAAGGTAAAAAAAAAAGTATTTTGACTTTGGGATCTGTCTCTAGTTACAAGAGGAAATGTACCTCCTTGAGCTCAGAACTGTATCTTCAATCTCTCTGTAAGGGGGAAAATTTGACTTTGTACCCAGAATTGACCTTGTGTAGACTTTATTTGGAGAACTGTGGGGACAACAACAGCTCACAATAAGATACAAGTATAAGGGCTACAAACCCTTATGCACAGGGCAAAAGCCAGCTACGAATTGTTGGGGTTTCGAGGAAGAAACTTTGCTGATGGGCAGGTTATTCCATGATCATCCATTATGAGAATTCTAGCAACTTTCTCTGGAGTTTCTGGTACTGGCCATTGTTGGAGACTGAACACTGGACTAGATGGATCACTGGTCTGATCTGATATTGCAAGTCTGATGTTGAGCGTGGGTGCTTGAATCACAGTTTCATTCTGATACCCATATTGTAAAGGCATTATGGATACTACATGTCTTGCATTATTATGATTTTGATCTCTGAGTGACACTATTAGCTATGTATACCCCCAGCTTTGTAATCCTGCTGGGGGTGTTCATAAATGAGAAAGCACAATGAGACACATACATAGTACATGGCACACTTTATTAAAATTTAGCCACAAAAACTGAAACTAGTACAATAATTGGACAGGGGGAAATATTTGCACATGTGGTTTGCAATTTAACTATTTAAAACATGTTAAATACCTTGTACAAAGAGCTGAGCAATCATCACTAAAAGGCATTTCAAAGCTGCTTTGCATTATACTATTTAAAATTTAACCTTTAAGTCTCGGTGTGATGCAGAAAATAAAGCTAGAATTCAAGAAACACAATTGTAATAGTCTAGTTTCAGACAGTTACATGTTGTGATTATTTTAATGTATTAAAGCTATGGATATAATCCGTCCAGCATCTGATACATTTTAGCACAGTGAACTTATATCTTTTTCGCTGCAGCCGATGCTGCAGCAGGATGTAGTAAGCAGCGAAACCACTTCCCGTCTTTCTTGTATAGACTTTTGCCTGGTGCCTCTTAAGTCTCTCTGAGACTGGGGTTTGTTGTTAAGGGTTTCTTCCCTCATGGGTTCTAGATTCTGAATGCCATATTCCAAGGGTTCTGTTGAATCACTGTTTTCACGTGGCAAATGCAGGTGACTTTTTCTGTCTTCTGCATAAAAATTAGAAACAAACTAAAATTAGAGGGCATAGAATCCTTAGTAAAGTGTAGACTTTCAGCTCTAACAGAAAAGATAAAGTAGCCTACACCAAAGAAACCAAAAGGTCAAAGGTATTCTCACCTCGTTCTGGTTCATTGTGCCTGTCTATTGTGGTCTGAATGATTAGGATTTACCTGATCATTAACATTTATTTCACCAGAATTGCACTGAAACAGATGTCTAAGAATTAAAGAGCCTATTAATATCCCATTAAAGAATCTGTAATTCTTTTACAGCTTGTCTGTGTAGCTGTTTAAGTGAGGACAACAAATCTGTTAGTGCAGTTGCTTTGATGGCTGAAACTAACTGTACATTTGTTTCGAAGTACTAACAGTGCCCCTTCATTCTGACCATTACATTTAAAATCAACATATTGTACTATGATATGGTACATTCCTTCCTAAAGTTCAAGTGCCATTGCTTTATGTATCAGATATGAATAGTTCCAAGATTTTCAAAAATTTATACCCTAGTATTGCAAATTGTTTCCCAGCTGTTTGTAATTCAGGTGCATTTTAAGGAATACTGTATTTTGAAGCTCTTAATACAATGTGGTGCGCTCTTTAAAAAAGAGAATAAGGATCATAAAGTACAGCAACATCCACTCCTTGCCTAATACTGAGTTAAGTGATTTCCCCATTTGGCTAGTTCTCTAAAATATTTTGCAGAAGTATTTCTAGCCAAACCTTTTTCTCTGCATGTAGCCATGAGATTCAAGCTTTCACTAGTATAAGAGTGTCCATGAAAGTAGATGCTTGACTGGAAAATATAAAATACATAGAAAGAATGGTTTCCTAAAACCAAACTCACTTATTTAATCCTTTATAATTAAGGTCCCAAATTTTGAGTACAAATCGCTAGCAATGCGTATTACCCTGGTATGACTTTAATGTATATTGCTGAATTTTCTGAAACTTCCCAGTAATTTGCAAATCAGTTTGTACTGTAAAACATCTTGTGGGAAAGCCATGCCTCTTGAAGACAATGGCAAAACTTCCATTCACTTCAAAGGGGGCAGGATTTCCCCCCCCTTGACATAAAAGTTAGGGTTGAGCATTTCAAAACTAAGTGTTAAGCACACAATTGGCCTGAAAATCTCAACCTAGATCCTTTTTTATTTCAAAAAACAAAACCTTACCTAAGCTAGGTAAGCTTCAGAGAAACCTAGTGCAAAGTTGTGCAATTTCACTTCCTTATCTGAAACAAAGCCCCCACAATACCGACTCAAGAAATACATTTTACAGAGATAAAAGAAACTAAGCATCCAATTGTGCCCTTAGAGGCATCCAGGTGACACCACCCCCTGCTGAATTCAGTTAGATTTGTGAATGCATACGAGCGAAGAAGTGAGCCCACTGCACATAACCCAACACTTACCAAATAGATCCTGTGGATCGTAAATCAGATGCCTTCTCCATCGGGATCCCCCACATGTGAAGACGACAGCTCTTATGAATTCTCTCCCACAAAGCTTCATAAAATTCTCTTCACCTTTTACGTCAGAGACTGCTATCAGGAGAGAGATTAAAACCAAACCCTGGATTGCACCCTTCATTTTGCAGAAATAGCGCCTGTTGGATCAGAATTCAGTGGGGAAGAAAGAGGGCCAGCAACGCCAAGATCTGAGGATTCTCCTGAATCCAGCCTATTTATATACAATGTCCATTGACTCTATAGGGCAAGGGCTCATTTTCATGAGGCTTTAATGTTTGTCAAGCATGTGAGTTAATCAGCTGTTTCTGGTAACATTTTAAGTGCTTTAGGATTTCCACTTGGATTCTGAGCAAACAATTATTAAAGGGTATATTTAGGAAGCACTATTGCTTAACAATGGAAGCATATCCAGTAGTGCAGCATATTTATAGAGCACTAGCTTAGATCAACATGACGAATGAGTACTTTCTGCAAAAAGGAATGGAAGTTTTATTGCATGTTTCACACATTTAATTGTGTATGTTGTTTTTGATTGTGGAAAAGCTCAGTCTACAACAGCCAATTTCACAGCTGTGCTAATGATGACCATTTAAATAGAGATCTGGTCATTTCTGTTATACTGAAAAGCTCAAGCTACAGAGTGATTTCACTTTTGTCAGTTCTTTAGTTCTCATTTATTTAATCATACGCCCATTTATCATTTTTGCTCTTGCTAAGTGTTCCTTCGTGTAATTTGGCAATTGTGTTTAAAAATATGGGCCAGATTTTCAAAGTTAGGCACCCAGACCCATTTCATGTAATGAAATTATTCATGTGGAGACTTTTTGTGCGCCAGTAAATCAGGGATTTGCACAGGCACATGGCAAAATAGGCACCTAATCTGCTTCTGCACACAAGGTATCTTTATGCAATCAGTTAGATGGTGCACATGTGTACATGTGCAGTTGTATGTGGCTAGTTTTGAAAATCTGACCCTGTAGATGCATGGTGTTAAAAGGAAATTTAAATTTAAAACAACAGGGAATATGGTGGAAAATGGATTATTTCCACATGCTCAAAACAAACAGCAAAATACCTATAATTATTCTATCCATCCTTTTTAGAACATAAGAATGGCCCTACTGGGTCAGACCAAAGGTCCAGCTAGCCCAGTAACCTGTCTTCCGACAGTGGCCAGTGCCAGGTGCTCTAGAGGGAATGAACAGAACAGGTAACCACCAAGTGATCCATCTCCTGTTGCTCCTTCCCAGCTTCTGGCAAACAGAGGCTAGGGACACCATTCCTGCGCATCCTGGCTAATAGCCATTGATGGACCTATCCTCCATGAATTTATCTAGTTCTTTTTTGAACCCTGTTATGGTCTTGGCCTTCACAATATCCTCTGGCAAGAAGTTGCACAGGTTGACTGTGTGTTGTGTGAAGAAATACTTCCTTTTATTTGTTTTAAACCTGCTGCCTATTAATTTCATTTGGTGACCCCTAGTTCTTGTGTTATGAGAAGTAGTAAACAACACTTCCTTATCTACTTTCTCTATACCAGTCATGATTTTATAGACCTCAATTATATCTCCCCTTAGCCATCTCTTTTCCAAACTGAATAGTCCCAGTCGTATTAATCTCTCCTCATATGGAAGCTGTTCCATACCCCTAATCATTTTTGTTGACCATTTCTGAACCTTTTCCAATTCCAATATATCTTTTTCGAGTTGGGGCAACCACATCTCCACACAGTATTCAAGATGTGAGCGTACTATGGATTTATATAGAGGCAACATGATATTTTCTGTCCTATTATCTATCCCTTTCTTAATTATTCCCAGCATTCTGTTTGCTTTTTTGACTGCCGCTGCACATTGAGTGGATGTTTTCAGAGAACTATCCACAATGACTCCAAGGTCTCTTTCTTGAGTGGTAACAGCTAATTTAGACCCCATCATTTTATATGTATAGTTGAGATTATGCTTTCCAATGTGCATTACTTTGCATTTATCAATATTAAATTTCATCTGCCATTTTGTTGCCCAGTCACCCAGTTTTGAGAGATCCTTTTGTAGCTCTTCGCAGTCTGCCTGGGTCTTAACTATCTTTAGTAATTTTGTGTCATCTGCAAATTTTGCCACCTCACTATTTACCCCTTTTTCCAGATCATTTATGAATATGTTGAATAGGACTGGTCCAAGAACAGACCCCTGGGGGACACCACTATTTACCTCTCTCCGTTCTGAAAACTGACCATTTATACCTACCCTTTGTTTCCTATCTTTTAACCAGTTACCAGTCCATGAGAGCACCTTCCCTCTTATCCCATGGCAGCTTACTTTGCGTAAGAGTCTTTGGTGAGGGACCTTGTCAAAGGCTTTCTGAAAATCTAAGAACACTGGATCTCCTTGGTCCACATGCTTGTTGACCCCCTCAAAAAATTCTAGTAGATTCGTGAGGCTTGATTTCTCTTTACTAAAACCATGTTGACTCTTCCTCAACAAATTATGTTCATCTATATGTTTGACAATATTGTTTTTTATTATAGTTTCAACCAATTTGCCTGGTACTGAAGTCAGGCCTGTAATTACAGGCCTGTAATTGCCGGGATCATCTCTAGAGCTCTTTTTAAAAATCGGCGTCACATTAGCTATCCTCCAGTCATCTAGTACAGAAGCTGATTTAAACAATAGGTTACAGACTACAGTTAGTAGTTCTGCAATTTCACATTTGAGTTCCTTCAGAACGCTTGGGTGAATACCATCTGGTCCTGGTGACTTATTGCTGTTTAATTTATCAATTTGTTCCAAAACCACCTCTAATGATACCTCAATCTGGGACAGTTCCTCAGATCTGTCACCTAAAAAGAATGGCTCGGGTTTGGGAATCTCCCTCACATCCTCAGCTGTGAAGACCGATGCAAAGAATTCATTTAGTTTCTCCACAATGGCCTTATCGTCCTTGAGTGCTCCTTTAGCACCTCGATCGTCCAGTGGCCCCACTGGTTGTTTAGCAGGCTTCCTGCTTCTGATGTACTTAAAAAAAAATTACTATTACTTTTTGAGTCTTTGGCTAACTGTTCCTCAAATTCTTTTTTAGCCTTCCTAATTGTATTTTTACACTTCATTTGCCAGTGTTTATGCTCCTTTCTATTTTCCTCACAAGGATTTAACTTCCACTTTTTAAAGGATGCCTTTTTGCCTCACACTGCTTCTTTTACTTTGTTGTTTAGCCACGGTGGCTCTTTTTTGGTTCTCTTACCATGTTTTTTAATTTGGGGCATACATTTAAGTTGAGCCTCTATTATGGTGTCTTTAAAAAGTTTCCATGCAGCTTGCAGAGATTTCCCTTTTGGCGCTGTACCTTTTAATTTCTGTTTAACTATACTCATTTTTGTGTAGTTCCCCTTTCTGAAATTAAATGCTATAGTATTGGGCTGCTGTGGTGTTTTTCCTGCCACAGGGATATTAAATTTAATTATATTCTGGTCACTATTACCAAGCGGTCCAGCTATATTCACCTCTTGGACCAGATCCTGTGCTCCACTTAGGACTAAATCAAGAATTGCCTCTCCCCTTGTGGGTTCCAGGACCAGCTGCTCCAAGAAGCAGTCATTTAAGGTGTCAAGGAACTTTATCTCTGCATCCTGTCCTGAGGTGACATGTACCCAATCAATATGGGGATAATTGAAATCCCCCATTATTATTATTGAGCATTTCACAGTTAGGTGGTCGGTAATATATCCCTACTGCTATATTCTTATTATTAGAGCATGGAATTTCTATCCATAGAGATTCTATGGTACAATTTGATTCATTTATGATTTTTACTTCATTTGATTCTAAGCTTTCTTTCACATATAATTCCACTCCCCCACCAGCACGACCTGTTCTGTCCTTCCGATATATTTTGTACCCTGGTATTACTGTATCCCATTGATTATCCTCATTCCACCAAGTTTTTGTGATGCCTATTCTATCAATAGCCTCATTTAATACAAGGCACTCTAGTTCACCCAGTTTATTATTTAGACTTCTAGCATTGGTATATAAGCATTTTAAAAACTTGTCTCCTTTTAGCTGTCTGCCATTACACGATATAATTGAATGGGACTCTTTTTTTATTTGACTGTTTCTGATCAGACCCTGCCTGTATTTTATTTTGGTAACATCTGAAAAATGGGAATTTTTAAAAGAGCACGGCTGAGAAGCTTTATGACTGTGCTGCATAGACCCTATAAAGAGAGATTTAGAAATCTGTGACACTGCTCTATCATCTATCTGTATTATTTTGTTGGTATGGTATTGCTGTGTCTGTAGGTTCCTAAAGCATTATTTTGCAATAACACATGCTTAAGAAAATTGTATGGTTTGGACAACTGAGGTCAGAAATTCACTATTTAGAAAAAAACTACATGAGCAACCTTGAAGATCTTTATCACTTCCTAGCATCAAAAGTGTTTCCCAGCACCATAACATTAAACTTTAATTGTTTTGCACAGAGTGAGTTACTGCGTGTTATGGGTGTGATGGAAAGGGCATTTTCACTACTAATACCGGTAAGTAAACAACTATCTTCATTGATGAAAAGAAATGGTGTGTTTTTTGTCAGATTTTTAATAATGATTAACACATGATTCACCTTAATGGTTGTCGTCCCAGAAACATACGTGAATTTGTTCTCTGTCAAGGGTCAAGCTTGCAGTTTTGTCATAAAGTGTGTAATGTCAAAGGAAATGAATGGTAATGGTACATTGTACACCTGTAAATGATGTACAATTTTGAGGTTGTGTTTAAACATTGAGCATTCACTGTAAAACAAATGAGACAGACTAAATGTTCTGTACATTTAAAAAATAAGGCCCACTGCATAACAACACTCAAGGACAGAACAGATATTGCATTCATCAATTGACAGGCAGAGCATTTCACTTCAAGGCTTTGATTATATTTTTCCTGTGTCTAGAGATGAATCTCCCCCTAACTGCAGATAACTGGCTAGAACTTGGAATAATATTGTTAATTGGTCACATGGGAAGATGATCCATTTTTATGGACAACTAATACCCCAAATCCTCTAGGATAATATAGTTGTCCTCATGTAAGGACCCCCAGGTCCAGTATCATTATTCAATAGAATTAG